CAAGAAAGGGTTATTTGTTCTTTGCATATCCTTCTTCTCAACCGCTCACCTACTTATTTTTTATAATCCTAAGGGTATCCTTCAACCATGTAGCACCCTCCCTACCCATGAAGATTAGAAAGCTTGTTCTCTTTGGAAATTCTAATGATGCTTCGGCCAAAGCTATTAACCCCACCCTCCACTTTGCTCAACAACTAGCCTCCTGATTCCCCTTATGATCACCGAAAAAGATTGGCAACAAAATGCATGCTATTCTAAAGCTAAGAAAAAAATTATAGATGTTCACCAAAAGGATGACTTTGATCTAAGAAACAAAGCATGGTAAACCAGATTTTGGCCTTTGTATTATTCTCTCTCTTTAATTGAAAAGAAAAAACGTAGGTGATCTTGAGTTCATGATTCATTTTTGTAGGATTTGAACTGTCTCTCTTCTTTTAATTGAAGAGAAACATAGTTGTTTTAGAGATTTATGCTTCATTTTTGTTGGATATGAAATATTAAGCAGGTACTCTACCTTCACAATAATGATGGCTATGACACCAATGACAATAATGACAAGAAGTGCCATAATACATCTGTCAGTTGCAACCTAAAGAAATAATAAAAATGATAGTTTTAGTATCAGGAATAATAGATCTGTCAAATATACAAAAGCAAAAGAAGTGGATATTTCAGAGATTGACCTGCCTACCAATTTCCTTGACCAGTTTCGAAGCCTTCTTGATTGAGAAATGGATAGAGTCCAGTTCATTCACAATCCTACTCATCTGCTCAGTCTGATAATTTAGAAGCACATTATCTTAGTTAAAAAAAATGTCACAGAATCTCCAAAGATTGGTTGAAACAAGAAAGATAATGGTATAGGTGTAATAAGGAATAACAAACCTGGGCTTTCAGAGCAGCTGCAGTCTCTGTTCCCACATTTATAGTATCTTGAACAATCTATGAAAAGAACCAAAGACATAAGGGTCTAATCAGCATTAGTTACCCGTAAGAAGGACATTTAAGGGTTTATACATTTTAATGCTAGAAAAAAAGTAAAGCAAAATACACCATGCAAACTCTTTAAAATGGGAATTTCATTGTTTATAGTGGTTTTGCTTCTGTGTAGAATCACACAAGGAAATTCTGAGGACAGCATTGAAGATGCTTCTAACTGCCTCAAGTGTTGAATTAGAGGAAATCAGAAAAGTTAAGGTGAGGCTATAAAACAAACTAAATGATAAGATTGTCAGTAGGGAGTCCCCACCTCTGATCCAAGAAAGTTTAGATTAAGATAAGCCAAGATTTATACAGTGAGCACAAATATCAATACCATTATAAAATGCAAAGTTTTTGAAAACAGATAAGCGAATCCCATGGTTAGGCTAACAATAAAAACTCATTGACTTGGAGGGAAATACTCAGTCAATCAAGTGACCACTTCATCAAAAAAATTAGAGTTGACCAAAATGATGTAGAGCATAATTAGCATCAATTTAATTTCTCTTTTTATAAGTTGGTAAACCTGATTAGGAAATTATAATATAGATCTCTAATTGTTTAGGAAAACTATTACAGATAGAGAAACTATTTATACTTATTTAAATAAGAAAAATTATTTATATTTCAGTCTTCTCTTTTTTAGCAAAATTAAGACATGAGATTTTGTTAGAAATCGAGCTCATCAAAGGGAAAATAGACAGGGAAGCATAGGATCAGAACAGGAACACAGTAAGAGAGAGAGTGGTGAAAGCAGGCCTTATGTCCAGAGGAAGGGGAAAACAGGGAAGACATAAGAGTGGATCAAGCCAATAGTCTTCATATGGAGGAGGTATCTTGGAGACAGAAGGTTAGAGAAAAATGGCTCAAAGAAGGCAATAAAAACACAAAATATTTCCATTGTTTGGCTAGCCATAGAAGAAGATACAATTATGTGGAGGAGCTAAAAGTAGAAGATAGATGCATTAATGGAAATGAAGCTTTGAGGGAAGAGGTTAAAGGCTTTTACCAGAAGCTATATGAGGAAGAATTCAAAAGAAGACCCAGGTTAGATGGCTTACAGTTTAAAGCATTGGATGAGATTAGCAGGATTAACCTTGAGAAGGAGTTCTCTAAAGAAGAGATAGTTGAAGGGCTTACAGATTACAATGGTGATAAATCTACAGGCCCATATGGCTTTAATATGAGATTCTTGCAAGACTTCTGACCTGTTATCAAGGATGATTTGATTGAGGTTTTCAAGGAGCTTCATGATTCTGAAACATTTGGGAAGTCATCAAACTCCACTTTCTTAGTCATCATTGCTAAGGTGGTGGGAGCCAAGAGCATTAAAGACTTCAGACCTATCAATTGGTGGACTGCATCTATAAACCTATATCAAAGGTTCTAGCTAAGCATCTATATAAGGTTTTGGGTAAGGTGATTGGGGAGAGCCAGCATGCCTTTCTGGATGGTAGGCAGATTATGGATATTGTACTGGTGGCAAATGAAGTAGTGGATGAGTTGGTCAGTAACAAGAGGGAAGGAATTATGTGCAAACTTTTCATGAAAAAAGCATATGATCATATTTGTTAGGTATTTGTGGGTTACATATTGGGGAGGTAAGGTTTTGGTCAGAAAAGGAGGAAGTTGATGTATGCATGTATTTCTACTTCCACTTTTGTTGTGATGGTAAATTTGGGAACCTTCTTCCTTCTTTAAGGCGTCAAGAGGATTGAGACAGGGTGACCCATCATTTCCTTTGTTGTTTATAATTGTTATGGAAGCTCTGAACAAGTTGTTGGAGCAGGCGAGGGAGAAGGAGTTATTGAGAGGTATTATTCTAGGGAGAAACGACAACCAATTAGAAGTTTGTCATTTTTTCTTTTGCAAATGACACTTTGATTCTTTGCCAACTAGAAGTGAGGATGTTGTTTAATTTAAGTTGCGTACTCCTATGTTTTCAAGCAGTGTCTGGACTGAACATCAATCTGAATAAGTCTAAATTAATGGGTTTTGGGGAAAGAAAGGAAGATGGCTTATGTGCTCGGGTGCTGGGTTGTAAAGCAGTACACCTACCTATTAAATATCTTGGCATCCCATTTGGCAAATATCAAAAAGGAATAAGATGGGAGCCAGTGATTAAGATGTTTGAGAGAAATTAGCGGGTGGAAAAGAAATTTCTTATCAAATAACCCTTATCAAAAGCACCTTAACAATTCCTATGGGGTAACAAAGGGGGGAGAAGACAATATCATTTAGTGAAGTTAGAGGAGGTGAAACTTCCTTTAGACCAAGGAGGACTTGATTAGATCTTTGGTTGATATGAATATGGCCCTTCATGGTAAATGGATTTGGAGGTATTGGAGAGAAGAGGATTTAAGATAGCATCCACAAGACACCGAATATGCCTAGAAATGGATGCATATTATTGCTATCTCTCACCGACTTTTTGGTCCCCGGTTTAACTGGAAAATTGGAAGGTCACAAAGCGCCCTCCTCTATCACAAGTGGAAATGTGAAAGAGTGCTAAAGCAGGACCCGTGACTATGAAAAAAAAATGACTGCTCAATCAAGACTTGAGTCACCTTGGAGTAAGTCAAGCCACATACTCAACAACGTCTCTGTCTGAACTGTGGAATTCCTAAATTGAAACACACTAGAATAACTTCAAAGACTAGACCTGCAGATCTACGTGTATTCCAAAATTTTGGTCTTCTTCAATCAAGTTCTCAAACCAATCAGGGAACTTCCAAAGACCAAACGATTTAATCCCAAACTCTTTTTGGCAGAACCTTCTGAGAAAAACCACGCTGAATTTTTGCGAGATTTTTTAACTTTTTGTTTCAAAACGGCGAAACCTCGAGAGACTTTTCACTTGTCTTTTGCAAGTCTGAGATCCGACTTCTTCGACTACTCGACTTTTGCAAGTTCTTATCTCGACAAAATATCCTTAAAGTCTCCTCTATTTCAGAGTCTATTCTAAAAAAAAAATCCACCGATAGCCATGGCAATAGGGTGGTGGATGTTAGATGGAGGCCATGGATGGGGAAGGTTCCTTCAAAGAAGCTGGCGGACCGTATGGGATGGGTCTATGGAAGAGTATAATTTTCAGGCAGCATAGTGTGCAAGAATGTACTAAGTGGAAGGAGGGAGAGGTAACAAGGTTCAGTTTTGGCAAGATGATTGGATTGGAAGAGGTTGTCTTATAAATCAATTTCCACGGATTTTAGCCTTAGCACAAGAGAAGAATATGTTTGTGGAGGAGACTTATGAGGGAGGCAACGGTAGAAGGGAGTGATCCGTGGATGTGACTAGGAATCCCAATGGTTGGGAGGTGGATGAATACGAAGGTTGCTCCATCTTCTGGCCATTGTTAAGCTAAATGATAATAGAGATCAACTTCTTTGGAATTTGAAAAAAAATGGGGTCTTCAATGTGAAATCGTTTTAGAAAACACTCGATTAGCAATGCTGAGGCGAATGAGACAACTTTCCGAACAAAACAGATTTGGAAGGTGAAGGCTCCACTAGAAGAACCTTCTTTGCTTGGGAGGCGAGTAGGGAATACATCTTGACAATTGACAAGTTGATAAGAAGGGGGAGAACCATGGTGAATTGGTGTTATCTATGCAAAATTGTTGTTGAGTCTTGCAAAAATATTTTTCTTTGGTGTCCACTAGCTTATAATCTATGGATTATGGCCTATTGATTGTTTGAGATTAATTGGGTTATTGCAGGGTCAGTGAGGGAAGAGATGTGGGCTTGAGAGGGGATTTGTAAAAAGAAAAACTTTGTTAAACTTATTTCTTTGCCTATTTTTTGGATGAGTTAGAAAGAGACGTAATAGTGCTTTTGAGGGGATAGAAGGGGCGATATTTAAAATTAAGGATATGTGGTTTTATTTATTTCAGATATTTGATTTTCGAACATGACATAGATAGAATGGAATATTTTAGGACCATTGTTGATATGGTAACAGATTTGTAAATATTCTGTAAATGAGTGGCACCGTCTTGGTGCCGGTGGTTTAATATAGGTCTTATACTTTTTATTTAAAGAATGAGGTACTGACCACTCTATGTCATGATTTATCTATTTCTGTGAAGCAAGTTGATCTTACAATCATTGATGATAATGATGTAGTGACCACTAAATGCCATGACTTATCTCTTTTTATAGAGCAAGGTGATCTCATTATTATTGATGATCTAGCTCCTGATAGCAAGTTAATAAATGAGGTAACTGAAGAAATCATCACTGACCGTCCAACTAATGATAATAAGTTAATAGATAAGACAATCAAGGCGATGGTAAAAGATGATGCAATCTCTATTATACAAATTGAGTTACCTAGTGATGCATCTCCAAATTTAATTGCAAGCAATGATGTCATTAAAGTTAAAAATGATGATATTCTTAAGAAAGAGGCTCCACCTGAAGATACTACTTCCAAAAAATTCTTTGACTCCAAACAGTAATAAGGAAAGTTTGGTTGTTCTTACTTTTATAAATTTTGTCTAATTCGTTCAGTACACCTTCAGAATCCTTGATTTCAGAAGCAATTATGTTTTCCCATTATAATTTCAAGTTACACATATTTCAATTATTAAGAAGAGAAGTTTCAACTTTAATATTCTTTCTACTCCAACATTTCAAAATTCAATGTTGAGTTTTCACCAAGTGGATGAAATGATGCAGAATAGGGAAGCTCCTAAGCTAAGCATATTCCAGTAATAGGAGATATGCAGAACAAAACAAGGAACATAAGTATTTAGCAAGTTAATTAAAAGGAATTGTATGATTCGATTTTTTTTTTAAGTTCTGGAAAATTTTACAATAAAATAACATAGGAAGGTTTTATTTTCTTATTTCCCAGATTTTCCTATATTCTTTCTTCTATATTCACCTTTATTCCCTCTTTACCGGTATTGATCTAGCCTTCTATTCTCTTTCCCATATTCTCTCTCAATATTAAGCAGTCTTAACAAATACGAAAACTAAGTATTCATAAAAACAAAACCGTAAAGTTATTAAAATATAATAATAAACTCTTAAAAAGAATACTAACTAAGAGAATTTCCTAATCTATTTATGTAATCTATTACTTCTCCATTTAGCATCATCAGGTATATGCAGCAATTAAAGCTCATAATGAGTTCTATAAGGAAGATGCTCATTAACACAAAAAGTTTAAGGAGTTTGCACTTGGTAATCAAGTTATTTTGTACCTATGATACCAACAATTGCCAGGGACTTATCATAAACTTGAGTTCATAAACATTGGACCGGTAAGGTTGTGAAGGAGATTAGTTCTAATGCATATGCAGTGGATTTATTGGATGACCATCAAATCACCCATAAGTTTAATGTTGCAGATTTATTTGACTTTCATGGGCTTGATGACTATGGGAAACAGACTATTATTTTCTAGGAAAAATTTAATCTAATTAATGGATTTTTCTATCCCTACATCCATTCCCAAATCCACCCCCCAATCCCGCCGCAATATCAATGGCACAAAAGATTCAAGGGGCCTTTGCAGAAGGTTTTAAGGATCTAGTCTACCCATGAAAAGAACTTAAGAGAACTCATCACAAGCATGTCTGAAGAAAGATTAAGCTCCACAGCATGTTGTCAAACTTCCTAATGATCTTCAAATCAGCACCATTTTTCATCATAGCCTATATTTATTTGACTATCATGGATTTGAAGTTGAAAGTAAACTACCTGTTGCAGAAAATTGAACTGTCAATTAGCCTAAGAATCCTAAAGAGGTGACTGAAATTCTTGACATGAGAGAAGCTTGAGCATGCAAGGCAACCAATATCATGGATTTCTTGCCAAATGATTGGTAAAGCTTTGTCTAGAAAAATTGCTCTATTTTTAAGGGAACTTAAGCAAATTGACCATAATACCTATAACCAGTATGAACATGCCTTTTGTTAAAGCTGAGTTTTCCCAATCCCATGGGACTTGATGCTTTACTTCTACCCTCAGTTTAATTCAAATTCTAATTCTATAGAAGAGAACAGTGATAAAATACAAGTACGATTTAAACTAAAATTAAAATTTATTCTAACTCAAAGTCAGTTTCATATCTAATTCAAGTTAGATTCTTTCATAATTTTTTACTTGATAGGTGAAAATATAAACTTATATTGTAGAACGGACAATTCGGATGAACTTCATTCAATTATGCATCAAACACATAAGTTATTACTAATTTTTACATATCAAATAAAGATTAAGAAATTAAATAGGAATAGAATAGGACTACACGCAATATTACTTTTTTATAGAAAAAAAAGAGAAACATTAACGAGATAAAGAAGATAGAAATACAGATAATTATGTATCCTTCAAAACAAAATAAAGAAACCAAAAGAAAGAAAAGAGGACTAGCTGATTGCAAAAAGAATAACCAGCCAATCTTTATACGAAATTGATAAAGAAATGTCTTTTAAACAACTTTAGTCTTACCCCAA